TACTCATGGTGGATCCAGGGGAGGGCAATGGGGGCCATGCTCCTCCCAAGAGGTCTAGATTTCGTTTGTTACTTTCCTTTATTTGATTTAAATATTTATTTCAATTATTTATTAGAATTATGTAATTAAAACATATTGTATACTATTATGTTTACACTACAAAGATAATATATTTTAATATTTTTTTACAAATATTTAACAATTTATGATCTTCCCCTCCAAAATGATCCGCTTGATTGTACTATCTAAACCAGCAAAAGTATTTTTAAGCAGTAAATTATTTTTCTGCTCCAAGACTCAAACGCAGATCCTCGGAGTACACCTGCCGGCGCTCATACTACTACGCCAAAGAAGCGCCGGATGATTCAAGCTCGGGCAAAAGCGTGTAAAAGGCAAATGCTGGATTCATGTTAAAAAAACTGAACTATCAAACTATTCGTTAGAAACCCCCAAAGCCTTCAGTCCGTTCAGATCAATCAGGGAATGTCAATTTTGAAGAAAATCAGCTAAACGATTTAGACGCTAGCGTTGACCACAGACGGACGTTTTGCCGACAAACAATGTATCAAAAACCAACAAAACATGGATTCTAGCTACACCACAAGTTGGAGGATTTCTTTTTAATTTAGAAACAGGATTTACCCACTTTTTCTTTACCAGAACTCGGCAATAAGTTTTTTTCTGACGATATGTCAACGTTTTCTGGAGGACGATTACTTCTTACGAAGATTTGGTAAGGAGAAAGTGATAATAAATTTCGGAACAATTAGGGATACTATCGAAGTTGGTCTAAGGGATACTGGTTATATTCTATTTACATTTAATGTTGGTATATTCATTATTTTATTTAAATCAGTTCGTGAATAGGCCCAGAAAGACGAACAATTGATTTAATGGTACATATGTTTTACAAATCCAACAAGAGATGTGAAAAAATGTTTAAAAGTTGAAAGTTCTACAACCAGATACATACACTTCCGATTTATTTATTTTAATTAATCTATTTGTGATTATTGAAAACATTTTGAAGCCATTCTAAAGTTTCTGGAATTCTCAATTCCTATGGTTTGACTTTCTCTCCAAACGGTCCTTTGCCGTTGACCCAATGACGAAGGTCTTCAGGGCATACTTTACATACTTTGTGGGGTGCCCAAGGTTTACTTTGATCTCAAAGTTTAATTTATTTAATAAAAAGTAAAAACTGTATGTGACGTTTGATTCCAAAATAGGCAAGATACGATCGCCAAGGAGTGGCTATATCTACGTAGGATAATGGCAAGGTAACTTTATCTCGTTTTAACTTCCTGAGTCACTCGCTCTCTGTATCAGATAAACTTTTGGTGCCCTCAGTGTTTACCAGATATACATTACAAGCATTGTAAATACATTTGAATTTCAAATACTGACATTATAAAACTAAATATAATAAAATATTAGTTTATATAATTACTCTTTGGGCGTACCAAAATTACGCTATACAGGAATAATTATATATATTTACAAAAACGGTACGTGATAGGAACATTTTGCTTTGAATTTGTTTTCAACATGCTAAAAATACCCCCAAAACATTCAAACTTCCGAGGCAGCAACTTCTTCCAAGGTGAGTGATATCGACGAAGAGGAATAGTGGGTGAACCCGAAGTTAACTGATAGAGACCAATGAACATTAAAAAAGATTGTGGCCAGATAGCATCACATATGTGTAGTTTTGCACACATTTTGGAGAAATGAAAACATTTTTTTAAAGCTGTAGCTTGCTTGGTAATTGTATTAAAAAAATTGTTTTATACAAAATTTGTAGGAAATTTTATCATCTTTAAAAATGAATGGAATCGTTTTTCTACAGGACTTAAGGATAACGAGTAACAGAAAACCCGGAAAATCAGAAAAAAATACCGGCTCCGATATTTTTCGTAAATACCGGTAAATTTCGGACCTCCAGGAATTAACACAGAGCCTGTGATGTCGAAACCTTGGAGTTTTAACTAGTGCATGGTTACATACAACGCACTCAAAGAATAAACTTTTTATGGTATTTTTCTAGGTAACCCCTCTCTCAGTAACTGGCGAGCGTTCGAAACGTAAACATTATTACTTGCGAAAACTAAGGTCTCTATAGTGAGTTCGGTAATGAAGAAATTGATTTTACAAACACCCCGTCGTTAACCATGATCAACATGAAATATATGAGTAATGGTTTTGCGTTACTAGAATGAAGGAAATTACTTAATGTGATTTACTTTTTTCGAGCTAGATGTCATACGTATGTCGAATTTTGTATGTCACATTGAATAGGACGTAACTAAGGCCACTATGACCCTGGGCGTAACTATTGATGTGTTGTTATATGTGTATCATGAAAAACATGGCGCTTATTCTTTCGTCCAAAGCTCGATGTGTTAATTGAAGTGGATCTGTAGTGTGTTTGTAGTTTACCAACAGTTCAAAATCCAATGAACTGGTAGCAGAGAGTAATACAAAACTAGTAGTGTAAATTGTATCCTGGTTAAAACTGAATTTAACAATTTTTCTTTAGATCTTAATGATAGTTATAGAGAAAAAAATCGGAAAAAGACAGGTTTATCAGGTTTTCCAGAATGTCTGGGTACATACAACATACCCAAAGAAAATGTTTTTGTGACCTTTTCCCGAGTAAAATGTACCTACCGACTGGACGAATAAATGTTTTGCTTGTTTCATTCCCTCTGATGGCTAAAATAGATGAAATGCTGTCAGTGAACTAACAATGCTGAACTGTGAGACGCAGGGGCAGTTAAAGCTATAACATCGCTAACATCGGCTTCTAACATCGCCTTCCTCTCCTTTGCCACATACCATTTCAAAGGCCATAAAGAGTCTCTGAGTGGGTCTGTATGCGTTCACACGATCCCCCTGAAGGCATTGTGTTGGAAATGACTAACAGCAGGGAGATCAATATGACTTCATTGGTACCCACGGATGAGTCACAAAAATTTAAACCAAAGTTCGTATCGTAAAATTATTTGAGAACAATGAATTCGAATTCCGTTTGTTTATACAGTTAATCAGAAAAGCAGTATACTAAAAGCGTCAGCAAAAACTCGGTTCGATTTTTCTTTAAATGGGAGTAGTAGAACCATACTGATACAAGTGACATTTTGTCTTTTTTCGGCTTTTCGTATGGTCACATGGGAGACAATGTAAATTTTCATGCCAGTGATCCAAGCGCAAAAACCATCATCTTCTGTAGGAATTTCTCAAATTCCCTCTTCCCTTATACCAAACACTAACTTGTTTTCTCTAAATGATAATGCCACTTCGATCAGTATGGTTCTCTCCTCACCAAATATTGTCTACCGGTCAAGAATATGTCTATAAAATTTTCAGAGAATTATTTTTCGGTTTAAAGATCTAAACAACATTGAATTATTCAAAACGGACCAAATTAGCGAGAGTTGCCTCTCAAATTGCCGCAATACTTACAATGAAACCTCATTAAACTGAACTGCAGTGTCTTGAAGTTAGTTCATGATCACATTCCTGAATATGATGTTCCCTAACTCATAGCTCCGAAAACTCGAAATATTCAATAACTTGATAGCTTCTTTCCAGAATTCAGATGGCAAGTTTCCTCTGTATCTTTATTTTAATGAAATGTGGGTGAAAAAACACTTAAATTCGAATCCAAATAATGATTTTTTTTTTACCACATCCAACCAGAAATTGGGGATGGAAAGGATTTCAGGAGGAATTAGGTACATTTCTGGAATTTTACCTTGTGGGTCAAAAAGGAAATGTTTTAAATAAATAAAAACTTAATATAACTTGAGAATCATTGGAATACAATCCATGAGGTTCTGTATTCTTCACACTCTCGGACATCAAAATACACCATACTGTTTACAACACTCATATCCATAAAAACGTTATCATGTTACGATCAAGTTCCACGTTTCAACAATTATGTAGGCAATAACAAACCAGTCGTCATACATTTAAAATGTATTTAAGAAACCCAGAAGTGACATTAAACTTAGGGCAGAAAACAGGAATTCAATTACAATCCGTAAAATGAGGTATTAAGTGTTCATACCAGAGACACAATTTGCTTAGAATACTGCATTTAAACATTTTTCACGCTCGAGGAAAGAAATCTTGGGTTCATCCATGATATATCTCTCTCATTATATGAGAATTAAATTTAGTTACACAATTACCTTGTGTGTTGACCTTCAGAATATAGTGGTGAATGTAGTATATGCATGAAGAAAATTATTGTGAAATGTAGGTTTAAATATAATTTAATAGTGAATCTGGGCACAAATATATCGGCATTCTCTCGACAATTCGAAATATTTCTATTAGCATAAGAATTTTCGTCTGAGTTTTTTTTCTTTCTTTCTCGGGATCCGGAAAGACGTTGTAAATGCTATACCATATGTCTCAACTGATAACTGCTGATCTCTTTATCTCACTTAAAATGGTGTTTGCGTAGAAACATCATCTTAGTATTCGTTGCATTGAAGGACGAATTGAAATCTCACGAAATGCGCAAGAGCGTCCTTGAAAGAAAGGTAATGCGACATCTCTTCAATCGTCCGATGACGCTGAATTTACATGTCAATATCGAGAGGGATGTATTGAAATGGACAATTGTTGGATTGCCAAGTGAAAATCAATTAGCGGCTTATGCATGGAATTTATGTGTAAGAAGAGTCTATCTGGAAGTGGGTGGTATGCAAATATGTGAATGTGAGAGATATTTTGTGTGTGCGTGGGTGAGAGAGAGAAAGATAAAGAGAGGGAGGGGAGATTGTGTATGACAGATTGTGTGTGTGTTAAATGAATGCCCCGCCATTCGACCTTTCCAACATGACCTCGTGGTAGGAACATAACGCCACCTGCCAATCAAGACTAGCGAGTCAACTTTGAGATGTGATTCCTCCAGTGGAATCTCACATTAAATATCTACATGCGAGACGACGGGAAGCATGTAACAGCATCTAAAAGGGCGTTCTTGAAATATTGAATTGATTTCAAGTGGTGATGATTGTGATGCAAGTATACTCAATCCAAATAATGCGTCTTATTGAATGTTTTCAACTTGCTACATTGGTACAGAAAGTAAAATTACAGTACTAAAAAGCTCATGATGAAGTATAAAAAGTTTTCAATTTTCCCAAATAAAACTATTCTTATTAACTCGAAAACAAATGGGAACGTTTGGTGAGATGTCGCGAAATACTAACTTAGGGTACATAAGGTGGAGATGGAGATATTCACTCCTGATTGCTCTTTGATTAAATAGCAATGCGTGTCCAAGAGATAGAGTAAGCCAATTTCCTTTATAAGTCCGCGGGTTCTGTGAACGGGTTAACATATCTAAAACACAAACATCAGTTTTTTAGACTATTGTAAAACAGCTTTCCACTGTTCAATTCAAAGCAGCAATAATTCTTCTTGTCACTATTCCTTCCTCGTCCGGCTAATTATTCACACATTGTTGTAGAATGTTACAAAAAAAAATTAAGAGAAAAAATCCACCTTAACCTATTTTTCAGAATCAAGGACCCACAAAATATGGATTCTGACTACACAACGCGTTAAAAGAAGTCATTTATTACAATAATAATAATAATTATTATTAGTATCATTACTTTCTCTCATACACAAGAATTATCACCATTGTAATTCCAGGGAGCAACATAACTTTTCTCGAAACGTGTTTCCTGGTCGAAAATCGCTGCTTTTTGCAGCAGAATTACAAAACTTTCTCTATACTACATAATAAATACAGACGAATAAAACCTCCAAAACCCGTAAACGGAACCTAGCAAGACTGGGGAACGGTGGCAAGTAGCAAACTATTTCGTGCTGTTTGGGGAACAACAGCTGACAGATGGTGGGAGCAGGGGCGCCCTGAGTGAAGAGGCCTAGGAGAGTAGATCCGCGGAGACCCTTTATTTCAATTGAAAGTTACGCCCCCTTCATACATTAACAGATTTAATTTCTCTGAGCACTAGACATAACTTACAGCGACATATATTGTGAATTATACGCAAAAACATTTTTTTAAAGAAAACAATTTGGGGCCACAATTATGACGGGGCTCAGCAACCCCTCCTTTTTCTGGGCACTCCTGAGTGGAAGTGTGTTAGTCTCCAACAATCGATAAGAAACATCATTAATCATCGAAAAACGTTAAAGTGGAGTTGCATTTATCATTATTATATTATCATCGCTATGAAAGTAAATTTACAATGCATTTTTCTTACAAAATTGTTTAGATAGGTAAAAAGCTACGCACCTAACAGTTGGTCCCGAAGGTGAAGCCTCCAGACAAACGAGAGGTGGTTGAGGGCTTATTTGAAAAGCTTCAGGAAGCGGTTCAATCTTTAAATGCCACCACCCATCACCCCCACAGGGCCCTCTATCATATGGAACAGATTGTGAACTCTCCAGATAATTGGTGGTTGCTATGTGTTTTAAAACTTTGTGGTTTCATTTCTTCGCAAAATGTCCACCTTGGCAAGCTTTTGAACCCAGTCAATAAATGTGATAGCAACAGAAAACTAGGAATGTTCTTGGAGTATTCCCATTGCGGAGGTAATTCAATTATGAATAACAATTCGACCCAGGTGGCAGGAGGGTTGAAATTAATCAATAGTTCGCGGAGCTTTAATTCTGACATTCAGGTGTACCAGGAAAGTAATGCCTCCGGAATGTTGTGTGTATTAAAAAATGATACCAGGGTCCTTTTCAAGTTCTCATACAATACTTTTTTGTTACAAAAATAAAAATTTCTGTGAGTTTGTTGAATATTATAAATTTTTTAAGTTATATTAATGTTAAAAGTTCCCTTTTTAACTCCTTCCGGAGGGAGTGGAGAGGCAGAGAGGGGAAAATCCTATGATCTACAAGAAGTGTATCTCTCTTGTGTTAACCAAACACATGTATTGGTGTGGGCAAAGGGTCTGAATTAGACGAAGGGTCAGACATATTGTTTTCTTAAATAAAAAGTTTCACTGAACCTCTCCCCTCTTTCCTTTTTTCTACTTCGAAAATTTTGATTCTTTGCTGTTCATAATATTTTTATTGTTTATGTAAGCATGCATTAAATCACTGTGTCTCTGGTTTACAAAACAACCTAAGAATTTGTAAGAATATCTCCTAATTTGGACCACTGTTTATTGGAAGGAAGAAAAAAAAATCCCCCACTAATATAGTGATGCCAAATATTCCTTTCTCTCTGAAAATAACATGAATTTTCTATTCTGATGTAATTTCATAAGAACAAATATACAATTTTTTCTTTGACAGTTTAAGTTAAATCACAAGTCATATCACAGGTCTCAACCACACTGCACAAATAACAATATTTTCCTACTTTACAAGTAACAATATACTATTTACAAATCAAAATTTTTAAAAAAATTTATTAGTTACTGTACTTGTTTTAACAAGAAATTGAGGAGAATCATTGTGACAATTCAATATTTACCTCGAGAATAACAGATGAAGACTCCTGTACATATTTAAAAAATGAGTATCAGGTAATCTGTACATACTTAAACTCAAAAATTACAAAACATTTGATATGTCAATAACTACAAGGTTTTCACATGACATGTTTAAATATTTACATAATACAACATGGAAGAAACTTGAAAGACTACATCTATTTTGAAGCAAGAGCAAGTTACCAGCACCTGATTTGCTTCAATTGTCCCATGAAATAATTTGTTACATAGTTCTGGACAAATGAACCATAAATAGTCATCATATATACAATATGTACCATAAATACATGAGAAGAAATAACAACCTCCTCAATGATAGAGAAAATACAAGCACATCATTAACATGATTGTCCGTCAGTCAATGGCTTGTTTTTGACGATTCACTAACTTACACGAACTTTCATAAAATTATAAGAATAGTTGTACAAGTTAAAAGTGCGGTATTTTGTAGAAGGAAGTAGAGAACCGATAGAAATATACAAAAATTAAAATGCTTCTTAACAGGGAGGAAAAAATACTTCTATTATGCTCTTTGGCATAAATCACAGAAATTACTTTGCTGCACATGTGTTCAGCAATAAGTAGATATGGAAGAAGAAGTCAGGAAGACAGACATGAAACACCATTAATAACACAGGTAGGGATGCCTACATGGTAGGGAAAGGAGTTTTAATCTCAACAGTCACATAGGATAATTTAGAAGTACTCTCATTCATATCTGTGGCATTATGACTTTAACCTTCATTTCAAATGCTTGAAACCGTTGAAAACGTAGAATTACTGCCTATGTTAGATATTCATATGCAAGTTACAATTTTGAAACGAATAGTACTAACACATTAATAACAATTACCACCACATTATTATAATATGAATAGGAGAAAATGAATAGAGTTCAAATTCAAAAATACAGAACTATTTGATTTAAGAATTTTATGTGGGCTGGAACACAGATGGTGGTACCACAGATAAGAGGAGAGACATCTATTCATAAGGGTGTTTTAATGTTATTCACAGCCATCTGCATTACCTCCCTCTGCCAAAATTGAATGTGTAAACAATTCACACCAAACAGGGCAATGAATACTGACAGCACCTCCCCACATCCAACCTTGAGGGATGGCTAGGTGAGTTAGACCCTGCTGCACAACACCCCAAATACCTGAAAAATAAAAAAAATAAATAAAAAGAGGACTAAGGGTAACAAAAAAATTCATTTCTTAAGAATATAAATTATTGTGTGTGTCACGAGGCAAGATGAATATGTTAATACATCAAATATTAAGAGTAATTTCAACTGACAAATTACATCAAGAGTTTTATTTCCAAGCAGCCTAAACTGAGGTGAATCCAAATAGAAACCTGAGATTTTGTTATGTGCTATCTTTTATCTCAATACCTCTTCTCCAGTAACATAAACATCACTTAAGTTCTGATGCGAGCTAAGTAAAAATACTGACCTGTAAATTGAAGCTGAGCCTCTGCATTCAGAAAAATGTTATCAGTGATATTATTTGTGGAGTTTGTGTCTGAATTCAAAGTGCTCATGGCAACCGGGACAACTGGTCTATACTGAAGACCCGATTGCAGCTCATCCAATTCTCGACTTGGTGTTGTTCCAGTGAAATCACCAAGGATCAGGAGAGGATCACAAGGTTTCATTTGTGTTTTCACAGCCTGCTCAAGTCTTCGAATGCTTTCCGCATTGCAGTCTTTAGCATGTACATTAACAAGAGCAATGTACAATTCATCCACCTAAAACATGAAACCAAAAAATTGTGGGGGGAATATAAAGTGAACATTGGCATTATCCAAACTGACTTTGAAAAAGCTGAACAGCAATATGAGGGCAAAAATGTCATTATTCTTTCTGCGGTTGAAATATTAATACTTTTCCTATGGAAAGTCATAAGAGATACATATCCAACCTTTACTCTTGAGTGGTTTCTACATCAAAAGTCCTTGTGATTTCAAGAACATTGAAACAAATTAGTGATGAAAGTGCACTTATGACCCTTTACTATGCTTCTAATATTAAAAATTTACTCTTCAGAAAATGTGATAAAACCTCTACCTCAAATTTACAGGCATGCATATTATTTGTTGTCTGGCATTTTCTTGAGGGTGCTTTTTCAGTGTCTCACCTGAAAAGTAGCTAATAGGGCAGCCAAGCCATATTCATTATTTGTCAACTGCAAAGTTTGAAGTAAAGATAGCTGCACTCCTTGGCCGGCATCAAACAAGAATCCCAGTCCTGCATGATCATTTGGCAAAGCTATTTTCCACTGACGACTGTTTCCACGCCAATCAGCTACCCTCCTTAGAGATGGTGAGTTAAGTTCCCCACATAACTAAATCACAGAAAACAAAACTCATTGCTCGAGATTTAAATATATTGATGTCTATCCCTGTTTAAAGCAAAGGTCATTAACTTCTCACTAATAGATAAGCTTATCTCTAGCCTTCATAAAGAAACTCAGAAGCAGCAAAGATTAAATTGTCCAACTGATTTTTCCTCCCATATATCTTTCTTCCCAAAAAGATGAGATAACGTATCTGTTGTACTCACCTTGCTAAGAGCTAAACCATCCTGCACCTCCTGTACCGCCAGTACTGAGAACCTATATAAATAATGAACCTGCTCACTTAATTCACATTAACAAAATAAACATGCACAAAAACCTTTTATAATAGATAATTAGCAAAATCATTTACAATCAATTAATGAATTAACACACAATTCAGTTTTTGACATATTAACATGTGAGAAAATGGGGAGAGTGTTACAGAAGAAATTTGTATGTCCATATGTCAAATCTTTAGAAATATTGTTAGCAAACTTAAATTAAACCATGCAATAACACATATTATGTTCTAACTTTAATGTTTATTAAAAGATTTTACCGATTTTCAAGGAGTGTTCTGCACACCACTTCTCGTACTCCAGGATTTTCTACTTTTTCTTGCGACAATTCCTGTAAATTCCACGAAGCGAGACGTGCAGCTGGACGACCAGCTCGCTTATATTGAAAGTCATCATCTACAACTGGTCTCAGAGATTTAGCAGATAATAACTCAAAAATGTCATCCACTGCTACACAGCCATTTGTGAGTGCTGGAGGTCTTATAGTACCAGGTAAGGCTTTTCGATGTACTGAAAAATTAAAATTTGTGAGCTTTCTACTCATTAATAAATTCAATTTTTCAACAAAGAGCAGATTTTTATGATAGATAAACAATAAAAAATTAATGTAAGATTGGCATTTGTCATCAGTCTTGTTTATTAAATTTTTAATTCCTGAAATATCACTCTCATTCTAAATTAAATGATAATGAAAACTGAAATTTGTCAGTGTACCTGGAATTTTTCCATTAGAAACATGATTAATTGCAAGTCCGTTTCTAGAGACAGGTTCTTCATTACTTGTAACACACAACTGAGACCGTAATGCACTTAGCCTTAGTGGAGTAATGCCCTTTACCTAGTAATTGATGGAAGCACTTGTTAGTTATAAAACACAATTTCAAAAATAAATATTTCACATTTTACTCACTTTGAGCAAATCATCAATGGTACGAAAAGGTCCTCGTCTTTCTCGATGATGGACTACATTGGCAGCTAATTCCTGTGTCATTCCATGAAGTAACATTAGATCAAAGACATTTCCTGTATTAACATTGACTACTTTACCACTGCCACCCAAGCGTCCAGACCCTACTTCAGAATTAGGTAAACTATCACAGGAGGGAGCTCTAGATGAAGTGCAACTAAAAAGAAAATGCATAATTAATAAATAAATCTATAATTTCATAATGAAACCACTTTAAATTTGTGTAATTGCACCCACCTTGCATTTCTACGGCGAACACATATCTCAGGTCTGATCAGGTCCAATTTTTCTGCTCCTATACCTGAGACTAATGCCAAGTCTTCAACCTTCCTAAATCCACCAATAACCTGACGATATTCAACAATACTTTGGGCTACAGAGCGGGTTATACCAGGCAAGGTCATTAGCTCCTCTTCACTCGCTGTATTTACATTTAGCTGTTCTACATGCTGCAATAAAATTAAAGGTAAGATGTTGCCTGTCAGAGATAACACAGAACAATGACAAATTATATAAAACTAATTACTCACCTTATCATCATCAACAAAATGAAACGTAGCACTTAATGCTCCTTGGTGGGTCTGTGATCGCCGGGGGAATGGGGATCGCCAAGTATCTCTTAAGGATTTCCTGCGACCACCTCGTGCTCCAATAGGGGCACTAGAGCTTTGCCCCATGATTAAATATAGATCTTCATACCCATGGTCTGCCACAAATGCAATTATATGACAATAAATAATATTTTTTCTCAACTTTTCATACTGCTGAAACAGTACAGAGGAGTCCACACAAGCACTATGACATCACAGAAAATTATTCTGACACTAAATAAAAACATCAATGATGATATCACAGCACTCGTTTTCACTATGAAATTCGCTCCCCTTCTTCATGTCTCAACTTTCCACCTGAGGTTGCTGAAGTGCAATGGCCTGGATTATAATAAGACAGTGGTGCATTCTCTCACATTTAGGACATTCTTCCCTAAGTAGTTGTACGATTAATTGAATCAATTAACGACAATTAAATAACTTTGGGATTACAACTTACTATTTCAATAAGTTAAATATACACTACATCGGCATTGTGAAACTGAATGAATTAACCTTTGACATGGGCCTACTTGCCATATCACTCTCATATTGTCAAAGACAATCCCGCACTCTGTGAAGTTATACCACTACTCCGCAAACATTGCACATTTGACATTAAGCGGTTCGTTTCGTTCACGATGATTCTCGGATGTCGATTCGCTGAATCGCTGATTCCGCGAGTCCCCGCATGCGTTCGATTACGAACCGAACGACATGACGCGAACCTCTACGAAACCGCGATTTCTGGTGCACCTGTGCCCAGCCTGTGCCGCACGCAGGGGAGGGGTGACAGTATAGTGCGGAATGTTGTTTACGTCTGCGATAATTAATACGTTGCATATTCTTCTGATGAAAAAAATTATTTCCGTATTTTTTTTTAGCTTTTTAACTTCGAAATTTCTTTTCACCTAGTACTATCTTTCACACTGTCAGTTACCGAGTTCGTCTTTTTTGACATTTGAGTCTCGTGATTTCTTGTCATCGTCTTCGGTGTCAATAAATTATCATAGTGTGGCTTTGTCATTGTTGTCAAACGAATTTCTTTATTTAGTAGCATCAAATTATTGCATAACAGTAAAGAAAATACGAGTGTTTTCAACGCTTTGTCTTACTAATGACAGCCAAGAGTTGTATGCGTTTTAGACAGGTTTTTCTGTTAAGAAATTAACAAATGGCAGACTAAAAGCATAATTAGGTATTGTCCAGACAATATGCGTCAGTAAATTGAGGTGATCACTAAACAACTCTTATGGCCATGGATAGCAGTAATTCGCAAACTCTAGGTAATTTGGGATTTAAAATTATTCCGATTTTTAATATGTATATAATTACATATTTATATTATATATATATATATATATATATATATATATATATTAAAAAAATTAAAATTTGTCTATTTACAGAAGTGGTGATCAAGCTTATTGAAGCAGCCGCAGACAAAGATGATGGTGTTCGTGAAGCTGTTTGTTCTTCCTTGCGAAAACTTGCAAAGAAATATCCCAATGATGTTCTGCAGTATGCCATGAGTTATAGAAAGAAGCATCCCAAGGTTCAAGAAGATTTTTTTCTTCTTTCTTTTCAAGGAATATACAATCAGCCAAATTATAATTTTATTTTCCAGATTTCCAATACACACCTTTTGGCTTTACTAACATTGATGGAGCAAATTTGTCAAGAACACTTGCATTCCATAACTGTTGAAGGTGTTCGTCAGCTTGTTTCTTTTACTATAGAAGAAATGACTCGGAATCCAGAATATCTTCCAGATACCCAACTTCGTGCATCAGGCATGCTTGTAGCTTTGGGACATAAACATTGTATAGAGGTTTGTAGAATTAGAATAAGCTATTTATAATTTAACATGATATTATGTGCATTTATCACAATTTATTGATACAGCATTAAAAAAACTTTTTCTTGAAAAGGGCATCTTTTGAATTATTAAGTTTTTATTAAGTAACTAGTTTATTTATTTTTAGTGTGCATTGTATATAGTGCCTTTTTTTATTCATTCATTAGTTTCAAGATGTCTTAAAAAATTATTGCACATGTTGAACTAAATTCAGTTGTTAAGTTGGGGAATGATATTAATTTCAGACCACAAATTGTGATCATTGTATGAGTTAATTCTTATTCGAAAAACCTTTTTTGTTCAAGTTTATTTGTGACAAACTAAATACAAAAAGAAAGTATGCATCTATTATTTAATTACTTCCAAATATAATTATGCAGTGATAAAATAACAGGAATCAAACTATTTTCTTAACAATAAATTATATTTAGTCTGGCATGTTCATATCTGTCGCAGTCTTCATAAAGGTAATTGCAGTAGTCGGCATTTAACATGATTTTACCCTTCTTAATATTAATCCATTTAAGTTAAATGAATAAATTGTGACATTGTAATGCAACTGATTTAGGTGATGGATGGCTTGGTGCTCAAACTTCAACCTGGTGTTCTACCACACTGGGCAGTCCTGCATACTTTAGCTGACTTGGCTGCTGCTAACCCCTACGGGTTGGTTCCATTTGTAAAGGCCACTCTAGGAACCTTACTTCCTATGCTGGGAGCTGCTCGCTCAGATGCCATGCGTCAGGCATTTGCTTTTGGTGAGTATCACTTGTAGAAACTAATAATCAATAAAAGTATTATTAATAATTTAAATCTTTGATACTTTATTTTACTGGAAACTCTAATTCAATTGAGCATAAGATGAATATTGTAATGCATTTTTAATAAATAATGTGTGAATAATAAATATTGTGTGAAATGCAGCTTTGGGACGCCTTAGTGAAGCAGTCTTGGAGTATCTGGCAGGGTTGTCCAGTGCCCCTGATCCCACTGTACGAGCTGATGCCTTTGCTGCGGAAGTTGGTGCAGCATATGATGTGCTGGCAACAGCTTGGCTTGGATCACGTGATCTGAGAGTGCTGTCTCCTGTATTGGCGGCTTTAGGTCCAATGTTAGCTCTCCAAGGTGCAAATCGAATTCGGGAACAGGCTCCCCGTTTAATTCCTACTCTTTTAGCCCTTTACAAACGTGGTTGTGAACCTCTCCCAGTAACTCAGTGTTTGGCTGCTGTTTTGCAGTGTGTATTTGAAAATGCACCTGAAGCAATAGAAACTTTACTCGATGTGCTTGTACCTGCTCTTTTTGACCAGGTATGTTTCGTAAGTAACCGTATGCAGTAGTTATATCTGTGTAAATAAAAAAACGGAGATTGTTTACATTGAATTATTATTTGAATAAAATTATTAATTTTCTATTGCAATTACCTTCTAGATTTGCCCATTGCCAGATTATGCTCAACCTCAGACCGTGAAGAATCATTTTGAAGCTTTACGATGTTTTGATCATGTTGGTTAGTAAATGTTGTTTAATAATCCATCAAGTTTAATGTTCATATTGATATATTCTTTATTAGAAAACTATAAAATCCCCCTGAAAATGGATGAAACTATTGCTTAAATCATTTGAAAATAAGATTAACTGAAAAGTTTGAATAGAAAATTTGGAATTAATAGTTAATGATTTAATTAATTGAAATTTGAACTGTATCAACTTCTTGTATTTGGCATTGCTCATCAGTGTTATTAGATCCTAAGGAAACATTTAATGGGTCCTGATTTTGAGCAGTTAAGATAAGGTAGCAGTATTTATGGTGCACTAATATCCCAAGAGTCAGCTAAAGAGAATCTAGCAAAGAAAAAAGTTATTGAGGTACTTGCCTTTTTTGACTATCTTTAGCTAAGCTGGGTAGAATTAAATCTCGGGTTTGGACCCTTACCCAGATTCATGATCTGATGTAATTGCCTCTGCCAGGAAATTTCACAAGATTGATATATAGTTCTAAGAGTATTTAATTAGATGTAAACCAGACAACCTGCTCTAAACAAGGTTCACCCATCTCTCTTGATAAAAAGGGAATAAAATACTTCTTGGTTCTAGTGATCAATACACGACAACCATTATATCTTTTCATTATGTTGATGCCTATATGAAAACCATGTGTACTATTATTTAGCTAATCATAATTTAACTTGCAGCTAGGAGTCACCCAAATCGATTAGCCGAAGCAATCCTACAACTACTTCGAAACAATAATGAACGGGAACGAGCTCGTGCAATGCTTGTAACTGCTCACTTAGTTGGGTCAAGTGAGCGTCTTCTTGGAGCCAACACAGTGGATTTAGTTGCTGGGCTACATGCTCTTCCTCCGGAAACAGGGAATAAGGTAAATAGTTTTTAGAATATATCATTTCTTCTTGTGCTATTTAGTGCCAGTGCTTTAATGAAATTGCAATTGTTAATGGTAGGCAAAAAAGGCTTTGCTGAAAGCCGTTGTTGCTCTTGCCTATCGAGGCCATCTTGTTGGAGCTGCTGGTGTGCATTTCATTCACTTTCTCGTGTACAGTTGCTGCCAGCAAAGTGTAAGGCCCAAATTTTTTCTTCCTTTATTTATTCAGAATTCTTAATGCTAATGCTTTGGTAATTATTAGTGACTTTTCTCCTATTTCAATTCTAGGACAAGGCAGGAAATGATGATGGAGAAGAATTTGCTCGCACTTGTGCGAGCACATTGTTCCTCCTTGCAAGCACTGTGCCTGCAGTGGAGCAAATTCTCTGGCCTCTACTACTCCATTGCTTATTGCAGCCAAAGTACACAGTGGCTGCTGGTGATTTGGCTCGTTGTCTTGCCCATTTAGCCACTCATCGGGCAGAATCTGGTCCTAATAAGCTTCCTATTCAGACCAGCAAAGCAGCATCAGGTAAGTGTGAAAGTGATGTTGCAGTGTTTGATCTGGGCAGCAGTAGAAAAGGAAAAATTAAATAACAGACAGTTCAATTTTTGTATATCTTCGCAGTGGTATGTTCCATTCAATTTTTAAATTGAATTTAGAGTAAATCTACTTATAAATAATTTTATATTTTTAGGAAAAGAATTTTGCTTTGAGCTTAATCTTTCAAAAACCAGATTTACTTTTTTCTTTTTTTCAACACACTATGTAAGTGAAATTTCTTCCTAGTACTTTCTTTAACAACTAGATTATTTCTGTCATGGTATCTCTCGGAACTTGGTCAAAATTATCTAGTAACTCTTTATTCTCTCCAGATGTTTAGTTTGTCATTAGTACTTTCAGTTTTAGTTTTCTTATTGTGACTGTGGTAAAGTAATTTATTAATTTATATTGTTTTCTGAAGTTTGTGTTTTTACATTGTCCACAGTCCTTGATCAAACAACCTCCAAATTGTCTGAGATTTTCCCTTTTAAATGTAGTCTCAGCCCTAATTACCTCAGATAACCTTGAGTCCACTGAAATTCAAAACGTTTAAAGAAGAAATTGTTCTTTGTAAATGTGTAGGAGGAGAGAACTTATCAGATGCAGAATTGCCCCCATCACCAGAAGCTGTTTTGACTCGTTGCTTAGCGTTATTGGGAGCTCCTTTGGAAAGAAATAGAGGGCAGTCTCTCTTAGCTTTTTTACAAAGATATGCTGCTTCAGTGAATCGTCTCTTACCACCCTTGTGGGAACAAAGAATTCCAGAACTTCTTCACCATTTGGAGGGTAAGTTGACGTAATAATTCTTTTGTGTATGCAAATGGGCAGATTGGAATAGAAAATAAACAAATTCAAATAAAACACTAATTATTATTAAATCAGTAGAAAAATCTATAGAATAATAATAAGAAGGATGAAACTACCCCCAAATGTTTAAAAACAAGTCTTTGTGCAATATGTTTGGGACTAAGAAATACTGTTTTGTCATTTTCTGATTACCCTTCTCCACCCCATTTTATAAAAAAAAACAAGTTTTTCCTCCCTCTGTGTTATAAAAATTTGAAACTCCCAAGAATGGGTGAGAATGGCTTCACAAATTCTCAATAACGAAAATAAAAATTATTTATTTAATTTATGGTAGGAAATTTGAATGTTTAATCTGCTAAATGTAAAAAAGTTACAAAATATTTATTTTAGAAACCTTCAGTGGTTCTACCTCAGGGAGAAAAAAAATGTTGATATGAATGCCAAATATTCACATTATTGTAGGACTTTTTGAGGAGTAGAACATTCTTAAAAAAAATTAATATTGACCTTTTCATAATTAGTGCTTTATTTTTGTTTTAAAGTCATTCCAAAATAAAGAGTATCCTTGGAATTTACAAATGCAAAAGAAAATGTTTGAAAACAGATCTGAAACTTATTTCACACCAAGTAGGTTCAAACATTTCAGTGGAATTTTTTAAATTCTTAGTCCTCTCTAGTTTTCAAACGTCTAAAATAAAATTAAAAATAAAAAATAAAAAAAAAACCTGTCCCTTTTGGTAAAGAAATATACTATTTTCATATTTTATATTTTTTAATGAATGGTATTTCACAGAAACTCTGAAGTGATAAAAATAGCAACCAAGGGCATTAATAATAGATTCTGACTTTGCTTTTATAATTTACCTAATGAATGATCCAATAATGGACAGATTTTTTTATTTAGTTGAACGAGTCATTTTTCAAATACTTAATGTTATCCATTTCTGTTTTCTTAGCTTTAGGAAGTGATGACGATTCACAGCACAGGGATCATGTGTGGGAGGATTTGCTTCTTGAGTTTGTTGCTGCCACATTGACTGAAATAGATCAGTCAGCATGGGCACTTAGTTTGGGCAGTACTCTTCTTGCTCAGTATAACAACACACCCACTCAGTTAACTGCCGAAAGAGCTGCATTAAGTAAATGTTTAGCTCTGGCAGCAAGTCATGCATCTGATGCAGGTTTGCTGAAAAGGTCTTTGGATGCTCTTTTAGGTGGTGCTCGCCTCCATACAGCAGAAGAAAGTGAGGTGTGTCTTAGATGATTTTTTTTAAATGTTGAATTAATAATGTTTTGATATATTAATTGTTGGATACACAAGCACTTTTCATGGATTAAACTTAAGACATTATTGTTTCTTGTTTTGATATTGTTAATTTTTATAAGGCAAATTATAACTCAGGATTCTGAAACTTGGTTATTAGTAATATGTTATATCTCATTCTAAACCTTTTTGTGGCAATAGACTACTGATTAGATGCAATAAATGGTTTCAAAGCTAGTTATAAACATCACTGGAAAATGGGCTGAAAATATGATTACCTTGATGGTTATTTATTTAGAAGGAGATAAAGTTGCATTTAGAGGCATTAGTTTCCTTTTATTCCTTTTTATATTGTCAGATATACCTTTAAGGATAGCCTGACCCCTTACCTGTCTGTCATCTCACAGTGCCTAGAAACCGTGGGGATACTCTGCGACCTACACTCCTTGGCTTGGTCAAGTTCAGATCAGTGCGCCCTCTTTCCCCCTCAAGTTCCACCTCCAAGGTCAATCCTTCAGCCCATCTCAGCTATAACCTTCATGCCCACTTTTCTGTGGATGGTTACTTACTGATTGCCATGGCCTGTTGACTCACAGCGTAGCACATTGCCTTTATCATTACTGGGTAAGGACAAAAGATAAACACAGGATAAGGAGTAGTTCCTAACATAATAAGCATATGAAAGCATGTGGTGAGAAGTGATTATAATTTTTGTAGGCCATTGGTCGAGCAGTTGGACTGCTGTCTCGAAGACACCTTGCTCCTGTTCTTGCTCGTCTAGATGTGCTTCAAAAAGAAGAGGCAACATTGCGTCGTTCTTCAGGCAGATTATTAGGAATTGGTTGGCGAGGAGGAGGAGGGGGTGAAGCAAATGCAGATCGAGCATGCCTCACCTTGGCTTCATGTTATGGCCAGGTGGCAATGGAAGCACCAGCTACTGATCTTTTGCCAGCATTGGAAGCTGGACCAGTTTCATGGCTGTTGCATACTCTTAGTACTGCCAAGGTAAATACACTAGTGAAGAGGCAAAGGCAGCCTTTTGTAAAATAGTGAATTATAAATAGTTTAAAATGTTTTGCTTTATTGCATAGTACATGTTTTGAAAATGAGGAAAGTTAGATGTTAGTTTTCCCATTAGTATTCATGTATGTGTGTGTATATTTACAGATATACACATACAATTTTAAAACTCAATTCAAATACAAAAATGTTTGTTTTAACTTTTTTAAACTTCTTCTCACCACTACTCAGGGGCGTTCAGAAGCGGTGTGTGTGTGGTGGGGGGGAGATGGGGCAGCTTGTCTTGACTTAATTCAGGCTCTGTTTTTTTTAATTTCAAAGAAATGAAAAATATATTTGTCTCTAAACCATATTCAGGTGATATAAGTATTCTGAATGGATGGAGAAATAAATTCTGTTTATTAATTGTGGGAGGGGGGTGTTTTTTTTTTTTTTTTTTTTCTGTGGATGGAGGTTACTTACTTATTGCCATGGCCTGTTGACTCACAGCGTAGCAACATTGCCTTTATCATTACTGGGTAAGGACAAAGATAAATACAGGATAAGGAGTAGTTCCTAACATAATAAGCATATGAAAGCATGTGGTGAGCCTCTGCCCCTACTTACCCTAAAATATTTTCTGATGCCTCCCTAATAGTCTCTTTATGTCTACCCTTTGTCTTCGTATTGAACAATTACTCTTGTTTCAATATAATTGCTTTTATCTTGGAAATATTAATGTGTTTGTCTTTTCAATGCAGGATGGGCCTTTGAAACAGGTTGTCCTTCAAGCTTTGGGCTGTGTTGCTGAAGGCTTGCATCCTAATCGTAGCAGTTCTCCTCTTGGTCTTTCCAAACGTGCTGATGTTTTAGCACAGGTGCTGTCTCAGCTCAAATCACAAAATATTGCTGTTATGACTGTTACTCTGCAAGTGACAACATCTTTCCTGTATCCTTGTGACATAATGCACATGAAGAATTGATGAGAAATTGAAGTAATTTTATGTATCAGAAATACTTATAAAATCAAATGAACTGACTGGGAGAGATGGCTCAGGACATCAATCAATGTCACTGCAGTCCCTCTGACTGGGAGGACCTAGGTTTGAGTACCGACACTGGCAGGATTTTTTACACCAGCTTGTCATCTTGGTCGAATTCAGGCCCTGTTTGGAGGAGAATTCTAGTGTCCGGTTGCTAGTTTTCCATGGTTTCTGCTATCAACACCAGGTGAATGCTGGAGCAGTACCCTAACAAATGAGTCATTGACCACATGCAATCTTTCCTACCTCTTGCTTGTCCTATCCTCTCCTCTTACACTAACATGCACTTCACAAGAACACATGCTGGGAGACCAGTCGGGAGCTTGGAGCTTGTCCCGGCAGGGGCGGTGCTTTGCTGGTGGGAAATACGTGGTTGGAGAAACCCCTGCTAGCCGAAAGTAGGTCGGTACCGGATTTCACCATACAGCGAGGGATACCACCACCACCACCTCCTCCTCCTCCTCTTGAGCAAAAACATGCACTACACTTACGGGACTCATGACCCTGGTTGACACGTCTGGAATTACTAACAATAAATCAAATGAGCTGTCAGATTAGTAATTTTAGATGTTCTTATTGTCTCTGTCTCATGAAAAAAAAGAGAGAGATGTGACTCTGAAAAGAGACTGTGAAACTGTGTAATGTACACAAAAACTTGAACTTTCTCTACACAAATTATTTTTTTTCCTTGACTATCAAAGTAAACTTCCACCAGCTTTGAATACTGAAGATCGGATAGCAGTCCTGCGTGTATCATTTGAAGAAGTATTTGGTTCTCTGTTTCTTACAACAAAAGAACAAGCAGTAGAGAGAGAAGGAGGAGAATCATTGAGTGATGATCATGCTACTTCTTCCTTATTGTCTGCTCTAGGTTAGTTTTTTTTTTGAAAGAAATGAAATGTGCAAGTACCTTGTGTGCCTAAGATTATAATATGTATACCTCAAGAACTGCGATGTATCATTATTTGGTTCATGTTGAGGCAAATTTCTGCTCTGTTTTTGTCCATGAAATTATTAAGAAAATGTTGGGAAAACATAATTGTCCTTAATGACTTAAATTTACTTTTCTCAGTAGCTGAAGCAATTTCCCAAAAAGACTAATAATCTCATTATTGTAATACTAGTGTTGTAATGTTTGGTAATGAGTAAATGCTTTTCACAGGAGCATTAACACAAGCTCTGTTGCTTGCGAGTACCACCCCTGCAGTTCTGGATGATGTATTCTCTTTGTTGGAGCCATGGCTAATTGTTAGATCTCCGTCACAACGTGCTGCTGCACTGTCTGTGCTGAATGGTGCCCTTCAATGTTATGTTTCTAACATGAAATTTAGCTGTGAGGTTGGTGGACAAATTTTTTGTGCTAAATGTCTGCGTGATTTGATGTAGAAATATATTTTGGTATGTTTTATTTCATTAATAGGCTCCCAGTCGATTTGGCCAAACAGGATTGATGCTTGGCCGTGTTGTTCCTCGCTGCACAGATCCCTCAATGGAAGTTCGCAGGTTAGCTGTAGGCACAGTGCCGTCTTGATTCTCTTGATTACGCAGCAGGTCTGAGGGTCGATTTAGGTGCTGACAATGGACCTTGTGAGCATTTTGTCTGGGGTTCAAAACAATATCCAGACGATGTGAGCCAGCTCAACTTTTTCCAAGCAACCACTGATCTGGCTCAGGCTTTGTCTCAACCCTGCCTCCACTTCAGCGCTTGCCCTTTGTGACAGTCTTCTTGATGAGATGAAAGACACGACTGATTCTGGTGCGCAGAGCCAGTGTGGTTCTCACTGCAGTTTTTAAAAGCTGAAAGTCTGAGGAACGTTATCATCAGGTAGCTCCTATATTAGGTTTGTAGATTTTCTTATTTCTAGGATTTGATAAGATGGAAATAGAGTTTATTGCCTAATATTTTAAAATTTATTTCTAGGGACTATTGTGCGGCATGCTGGTTCTACAAATTGTCCTCAAACTCAGCAAGGAGCTGTAAGAGCTGTTTTGGCTCTGGCTAAGCATCACCCAAAAGCTGTTGTAGGTGCTTTACTTTTACAGCCTCTGCCATTTGATCAGTAAGGGAATTTTTATTTACAATGAAGTTGCTTTTAGACTGAAATTCTTTAGGTGTATGATGTTCATGTTCCTTTCTGTCCTTCAGAGCAGTTCAAGAATGTTGGCGTGTTATTGCAAGGGATAATACCCTGGCTTCAGATGTGATGGACCAATTATTGCGCCTCATACAGGGACCTCTTTACGAGGAACGCTCTGGCCATGGACCACCAATAGCCGTGCTCATGCCTCTTGCAGTAATTATTATTTAAATATCCTGTTTATTTTGTTGATATAAGATCCTTTAATAGTTCAGTGCCATAGCCTGAATTTTCTTTGAATAGGAGACTAAATTGATGCTCTGAACGTTTGACACTAAAACACTCGTACTAAAATCATGAATATTGTACACTTTCATGTCGTCCAACTATAACATGTCCACATATTTGTATCTCAAAGAGATGTGAATCCTCCTTTCCAAGGAAAATGTCATTAATTTACCTTTGGCCCAAACTGTTGATTAGCACATGCAAGCTTGTGAATGAGCAGATAGGCTTACAAGGTAGCAGAGCGGCTTCTGCACATGCATGTGCATATTAAAACTCCGAAATCATTTGTCAAAAGGAAGTTTGTAAATTGGGTGTTTGGGATTACTGAAGTCAGTAGCGAGTTTCTTTTTGACCATTTACTATTAGAACATTGAATATCAAACTTAAGAAATAAATGCATAGTTGGAATTTGAATGGTGTGACACCATTTTTATTTTTATAAATACAAGTATGGTGTTACATATGAAAGTTCTTCCATAATCAAACCAATATTTCCTGTTAGTCTACATACAAAAATACTACTTTGGGAATAATTGGGTATACTGATACTAACTTTTATATGTATAATTTTCATTTCAACTATGGTAATACATTATTAAACATTTCCTAACCAAATATCATTCTATCAAATTCATTCTCCATTATGCCTTAGGAGTTTGTAAAATGTTATGGTTATAATTATTTTAAAAACTTTACAGGCTGTGGCAGCTTTGAGACCTTTGTTGTTGGAACCAGCATTGCAGCAATTTGCTAATCAGCACTTCCCAGACCTTTTCTCGGCTTTGCTCACTTCAGCTGCATGCTACATTGGGGTTGCACCACCTGTTCATATTCCTAATAACAGCGGCCAAGAGACATATGGAGTAGTGCCAAATCGTAACGCATATCGTTTAATCCCAGACTGGTTTGTTTTTCATTTAATTTATTCTTGTTTCAATAAAAGTTCATAAACACTTAAGAAATGGTACTCTGTATTTTGTATGCAGGGTTGCAAGAGAATCATTGAAAGCATTGCTTCTGAGTGTTCATTTTGATCAGGTAGCAGAAGCTTTGATTCGATGTTGCCATCCAGAACCTCCAGGTTCCTTAGAAACATTTACAGAAATAGTGCCTCATCTTGCGAGGTAATTCTCTATCTAAAACTAAATCGACACCTCAAAGTATTTGAATTTTGAGATCTCTTTATTTTATATCTTTTAATTATGTTTCAGAACATTGTGTAAAGTTTCTCCCAGTCTTCTGCCTAGACTAGTCAATTCTCTTAATCATTATATATCAAGTAGTTTTGAACCTCAAAGAGCTGCTGTTGCGTCTTTCTTTGCAGAGGTATGAAGATTTTTTGTTTTTACCTTCTTAAGTTGCATTTTCTTCATACAGAGTTTTTAGTTTCTTTCATTTTGCAGCTCATTGCTGCCCAAGCAGGAGGGCAATTGCTGTTGCTTGAAGGAATATTATCATCACTATTAAGTTGTTTGGGAGACCCCAGTGCATTAGTGCGAAGGCTGTGTCTTCGTGGTGTGGGTGCGACTGCTGCTTTGCCACCTGAGCAAGTAATTGTCTGTTGTTGTTTTTAAAATTTTTTTTTTTGCTGACATTTTCAAAATCGATGTCCTTAGAAAGTAGCACACTGGTGAGGAAGCAATGAAACGCAGAAAAATGCCATGAAACAATATCTCTTACGAATGTAACTCAGTTTAAAATGAAAAAGGATGCTATTTTCATTCATATAAAATTTGACTTTACTTTTTTATTTAATTATCTTCGATTCTAAAGTCTTGTGAGCCAAGCATTTGTTGTCAAAACTGAGGATGTTATTTGCTTTCTTACTTTATGCTCTCCATTTGTTTCAAATGGGTCCTAAAGAGAAATTTTAGAAGAAAAAAATGTATTTTAGTGAAAATATGAAGTCAAGATTTTGACAAGAGGCTGGATTTTGTATATTATTTCTTAATTGGTTTGTAAATGTTATTTCAGAGAGCACGGCATGCAGAACAAGTTCTTGCAGCATTAGTTCGTGGGTTAGATGAGCCTGATCCTTTAGAAGCAATGCATGGTTTAGCTGCAGTGTTGCCTGTGACTGACAATGTAGCTCTGTTGCGAGGGGTGACAGTTGCAGTTGCCCTTCGGGTTCGGCCTTTGTTTGAGCGAGATAATCCAGCTGAAAGAGCAGCAGCCCTACGCCTATTTGGGGAATTGGCTCAGGCTGGTGCACATGCTGATCGAGACAAGGTACACATATTTCCAAAACAATCGTCATATTGTATGTTCAACAACCTAAGGAAACAATAGCTACAGATAAGCAGTGTTTTGGCTAGTTTTCATTTATTCGACTATAAAGAGTAGCCATTTTACTATTTGGATTCATTTTTTAATTTTTTGCATAAACTTAGATGCAACAAGTCTCCCTTAGGGGGCGTTGAGCACTTCAAGCTTTTGGAGTAATCCTTCTTTAATTGCCAGAAAGTATTCTCCATTAATTAACAGAGTCCGTCATGTCTCGTCTCAGTCAGTTGTCAAAAGGACTGGTAGATAGCATATCGGCATATGCGCCTCTCTTTTACGCTCTCCTGCATCACTACCCAGTGGCCAGAATGGGGAAGGAATAAGGATAGGGGTAATGTTTAGAATGCTTCACAGTAGTTGGAATATCCTCTATGAAGCATGCAAACTTGTATTGTCGTAACAAATTTCACATGAGGTTCTGCGGGAAATCAAACCCGGAACCTCAATGGTGAAAGGCAAGAGTTATGAAGTGTTAGCTGACGTACCAATGGAAAATTTTGAAAAATTGGGGTATTTTCAAATTTAGAAAACTTATGAATATCAGTAATGAATTGTGTACAGATTTGATACCTAATGATAATAAATCTAACAATTGTAGGGAAAAATGCGATATGCTACTATGCCCAATGTATGTAGCCACCCAGTATGCTAGTAGCGCTCATTACAATGAATCAGGCATTCTAAATATACTAATATTCATTGTGGAATGAATCAGATTATACTATTTGTTTAAAAGACTCACCTAAAAAATAGTAATTAAAAATCCCCTAAAAATACTAATTTAACCTTTTTTTGAAGTAATTTCTGCAATGTTAGCAATGAATATTTACTAGTCTTGTAAAAAACTTGTAAATTTTGGTACATACTGGAAATGATAAATTAAAAATATTTACTTGAATATAAGTACCTCCGTTATCCCAGAGATTCAATTAATCAGAACAGGAGAGTTTTGTCTTGGATGTGCTGTCTCTGTTTCTAACTATAAATCAAATAATTGTTAATTGTTTGATATAGTTATAGATTATTGATCAATTGGTATTGTTTAATTTGATTTTATGTTATTTTTCTTGAAAATTTCGGTATATTTTTTTTGCAGGAACGAAGTGTTGCCCTGGTTGAGCAAGTACATGGTGCTTTAGTTCCATTACTGCTGCATTTGCATGATTCCGACTCAAATGTTATTCGTGCTAGTAAGTTTGCTTTACGTCAATCATCTCCACTTCTTGGTGCAACTCAGACAAATGCTATGGTACAAGGACATCTTATTGATGCTGGTAATTTGCATTATGAAGAATTTGCTACAGATCTTGCCCGAACTCTTGCCCGGGAACTTCCTGATCAGGTAATGTACATAATTTTTATAATTATAATACATCTAATTATCTAACCAATTATAATTATACAACTAATTATATTAATTTGATTTTATTTTTTTACAAATACTATGTGGGGCCTAGTTGTGTAATATACCCTTTTGTAAATTAGGATTACTTTGGAGAAGCATTATTTTTACGAGTCAAAGGATTTAAGGTTAGAACCAGTGAGCCATCCTCCTTAACATTAAGTTCAATCTGAGATAATGCGGCATAGCACTCACTGTCACAAACTGATGGGATGGTCTCTCACAAAGCTGCAGCGTGTTTGGTGCTGTCTTGATTGCTGCTGCTGGAACTATCTTTGTACGATTTTCTTTCAGAAGGGAGGCTTAACATAGCGTTATAAAACATTAGTGTAGACCCATTCTAGTTCTAACCACCTTATTTGTATCTAAATAATTTTAAAACTTAAATAAATAATTTTGAAACTTGTTGCACTATTTTTAGTAAAATACAAATTTATTTTTAATAATAGAATGGCTAATTGTTCTTGGGAAATTTCAAAAATTTAATTGTATTTTTAAACAGGAAATAAATCATTTTTTTCTTTTATTCATTTTTGTAGCAAAATGAAGGTTATTAAACATTAAAGTTGTAAAATGAAAATAGTTACTTATTTTTGTAATGCATTTCACAGACATTTCCACCAATGTAAATGTCCTTACTGTATCTGAAAATTATCTTTTAGTGTGGCAATCAATAGATGTATTATATGGATGCTGATTTGCACACTTTCCAGGTTGCTCAATTTGTGTCATGTGCTTTGTCATATACTCGGGGTGGTTCACCTTCATTGCGAGGTGATGCTGCTTTACTTGCTGGCCTGCTGTGTGGGTCTATGGCATCAAACTCAGACAGCTCAATTGATGCTACTCGCACCAGATTGGTTCAGCTCCTCCACGATGATAGCTCATTTGTGCGGGCCAAGGCTGCCCAATCCCTCAGTTGTTTGTTTGTTAACTAAAATTAGAGTGTAATTTCAAGACCATTCCATTATTTTCATTATCCTTGCATTTCTTCATGTGACTGTATTATTATTGCTGCTGTTGTTCATAATTCTTGACCATTTGCTCCATGCATGTTTATTGCTGTAGCTCCTTAGAGAATCCTGAAGTGTGATAATTATTTAAAAATAGGTTGACTCCTGACTATTCAACTATACTACTCCCTTTTGATAGACACCCATTGCCTTGTGAAACATGTAATTATAAATCTATCTAGAATAGTAATGGTACTTCCATGATTATATACAACGATATCACAAGATATTAAGACCAGGTCTGACAGAAAGGGAGGAATTTTTATTTTTATTTTTGAGAAATAAAATGTTCTCCAAGCTAAGATATTGTTGCAAGCTTGAAGATAATGTTTTCTGAAGTAAATCTGGGAATCTTGATTTGGAAAGAAATTTTTGCTCTTCAGTTAGTAATATTTTGTGTAACCAGAAAAGGTGGAATGCTCTTTCAAACATTCTAGACAAGAGAATGTCCTACAAATGTGGTTCGGTATCAAAACCTAATTGCATCAAAGTGTATGTAATGTAAAAATATCTCGCCTGTTATTCAAATAATGTTTAAGCATTAAATTCTATATTTTTATGAAATACTGAGCTTTATCTTCTGTGTTGCTTACAATTCTGTGAAGAGTAAGATTATTACATATAAAGTTGTTGGCTATTTTATTATTGCTATGCAAATTAAATTATTAATATATAAATGGATATTGCTTTAATGATGCATACATGGTGTTTGACATATTCATCAGTCTTCAATAATTTCAAACTGGAATATTTGATGTGGTCTTATAATAAAAAATCAACAAAAACATATACCTGCCTTCCTCTCATCTCATAAGCAAATGTCTTTGGGGTCATTGAATTCTTCATTACCTGCTGATTGTGTGAGAAAGGGCCAGCTATGTCATTCATGAGTCTCAAAATCAGGTTCTTGAGGTTCCCACCTCTAGTTTGTAGGACATGATATTCTAATGTTTTTGCAGCACGTTTTTTAACAATGCAACATTATCTGCAATTGTTGAAAAGCATTAAGGTAAGGAGCCATTTGAAAAATACGTTTGCAAAATTTAAAACAACTCTGAACACCTACATCCCAAGATTAAGGTTCCACTTGGATCCCTCCCTTCTTGGATGCTTCTCAAGTTCAAGAAAAGTCACTTCATAAAACATTTGAGGGTAATTGTATATCCTACAACACAGGTTTTTAAATTGAAAAGAAGATACATTACTGGTTCATTTCAATGATTTGATGTAAGGTAATTCTATAAATAATTTGTGAAAATGTTAATTTTTTATCAACTTCTTACCACATGTTTTAAGTTGTGGAACCTTCTCTCCCTTTAAATGAACATGTGTTCTAAATGGCTACTTTTTGGCTTGAATGGTGGTCATAATGAAGGAATGCAAAATGTATAAAGTCTTGTTGTTTATAAAATAATTAAAAGGCCAATAAAAAAAATATTCACAAAGCAGTAGTGTTTTTATATTACTTCATATTGCTGTTATACCTCAACCCACAATTTTTTGTGAATTACGCAAATTTAGCTAGGAGGTTTCAAGTCCAAATTGAAAATAATTTCTATGAAAGGATTTATTGTTATAATGTTTTTTGTGATCCAATATGACTATCCTAGGTTTCCCTACTGGCGGAATTGTTCTTAAGTGGTGAGGGTATAAAATGTACCCCCAAATGTGGTATTTTTACAGTTTTACGGTTATATCTTTTAAAGTACTCATAAAATCAAAAATACATCCTTATTCAAAGTTGTAGAGCATTAAATTCTGCCTTGGGTGATACCAAATGCATATTTTTTGGACCACCGTGAAGATGAGATAAATGAGAGCTGCTAATCACTCTTAATACTCCCGATTTCACCCAAAGTGTCAGTTGCTATCATTTATACCGGAAGTGCTTCAGTTGTAAACAATCCACAAAAAATAGGTATATTTCACATTTACATCTGGGGTGCAAGACTAGGGACCATTCTGACATATGCCTTATGCCAGTGTTATTCAAACTGTGAGATGAGCCTCCCCAGAGAGGCACAAAAGATTCGGAGGGGAGGCATGTAACCTTCATAGTAATTGAATGAAATAATGCTTAATGTTCTAAGTATTTCTATATGAATAAATCAGTAACATACGACACACTAAAGACTGAATTTTGGTGCACTGTAAGGGATAAGTATCCAAAATTAAATAAGGCCTCGTTTTCTGCTTCCTTTTGCCGCTTCTTACCTACAGGACTTTCAGCAATGGCAGTGATCAAGATGATAATCAAGAATAAATCCCCAGAATGAGATATGCATTGTCATTTCTAAATTAGTGCTGATATTTGTTGAACCGTGTGACACCAAACAAGTACATCTGTCTCACTGATCACTGACTTTCCTGAACTATCAATTGTTTTTAATAGTTTTCCTCACTTTGTCAAGTATTAATTAAATTCAATAATTACAAATCATTTGCAAAAATTATTTTGTTGTAAGTAATACAAATCACTTGTAATAATTATTTTGTACACTAAATTAAAGAATATAATAAAAAATAGACATGATGGCCTCACTTTCAGGAAAAAGATAAGTAGTTGTTACTAACAATTTAATTTTAATAAGGGAAAGTGTGTGCACAATTTGTTACCTGTTTTCAACAAAAAGTTTGCTAACCTCTGCTTTAAGCGATCAAGTAAACCCAGGAAAGCCTCAATCAAGATGGGAGCTGAAGGCCAAACATTAAAAACAAGAAAGAGTTTAGAGTGAAAATAAAAGGATAGGGAAAGAAAAAAAAAGTAATGGAAATGGTTAAGATTAGATTAGTTTTAATTTAGTCAAAAAACAGTAAAAACTGTATGTGACATATGGGGTAGAAGATCATCTGCGCACACTTTCTTGAGTCCCAGAATCTCTTCCCATCATTTTAACTATAAATAGTTGAAAGATGAGTAAAAGTTATAGCAAATAAATAAATAAAAATAAAATTTAAAAATTGCAAGTTTAGCAATATTTGAAAAAAGTAGACTTTTTTTTTCTGAGCTGTAGAAAACTTATTTGCATCAGTAAACAAATTGCAGATATGATTTTTCTGTGTTGCTAACAAAATAGTAACTTGTCCTTACCTCTACTCCTACCTTTACAAGCAAAAGGAGACTTCAATAAAACATGCGCATAGTGAAGCTACATTTATGCCCAGAAGTAAAACAAGGGGCCATTTCACCATTTGCTCAATGGATCAGGGAAACTGGACAAAAACCTGAACGAGATAGGGGTGATTGATCCGGAAGCTGAAGTTCATTATTTGTTACAAGCATATTAAGTCTTTTTTTAAATTATATAATACAAATGTAAACTAATTCATTATATATTACTGTTTTGCTAAAAGAAACAATCTTTTTTATGATGATCAGTAGTGTGTCTCTAATATAAAAACAGTTATGCAAGAACAGAAAAAGATTTATTTTTTAACTTAAATATGTGACAAGAGGAGGAAGGAAGAGAGGATAATGAAGAGGGATATGAGAAAGTGTGGGAAAACAGTACACAATAGGGTAACAATTACATAAATGTCAATAATTGAAGACCCATACAGTTTATAATCTTTATACAAAAATATGGGGAAAATTTAAATTACTGCTGTTGGTAAATCTAACAACAAGAAAAATCTAATAGTACAATAGTGTCAGTAAAATAATGTAAGGATTACTTGTACTAAAAACTGTAAGGATTTTCTTTGTACAATAGAAAGAATAATAAAAGCGTCATACGTTATGATTTGAGTCAGCTCTTAAAGTATTGGATCAGATATATATTTTTATTTTACATTATGAATCTATTACACATAGTGCAAAAATGTACGTTGATCATTGCAATGTAATTTGTTTAATTGTGAACCTTGTATTAGAAGTAAAACCTGTTTAAAGGCAGAAACCTGCCTTCGCAGGAAAACAATGTCAAAACAGACTGTTTTCCTGAACAAAGTTCACTGGATAAGCTGGAAACCTGCCTAAGGTGAAAACTGAAGTAGTAGTAAGATAGTATTATAAATTGTCTATAAGAGGGAAAACAAATAGTTTTAAAATTTGTAAGTGTGGTGTCGTCATACTATGAGACACTCAGAGCTGTTCTCGCCTGTTTCTCAGCTACCCTCATCCAAAAATTCTATTTTCCATGCTACTTGTACGAAATCCACTGTTTGTATGTAATAGCACTGACCTTCACAAGCCCATGTAAAGAAAGGAGAGAGACAAAGAGAGATCCTCTCACAGATCTTGTAATGCATGCTTTGGGTTCAGTGGTTCTAAAGGTTTACGGTTGTTCAATTCAATGAGTTGCGGGTGTGGAGTTCACAATCAAGTGTGTATGATGTCAGGTGGTAATTTGAAAATGTTAATTCTTGATGAGGAAATTAGACTAATTGAAGAACTGGAACAAAGCAACAAAGGCAAAGTTTCGAGAAAGAAATTTAAAGTTTGGGAAAGTGTAAGTCACCTACAAAACAAAAGCAAAATCAAAAAGCAGTTGTTGAAAGACATTTTTTATTGGTGGTTTTCTCAATATTCACAAGTACCTAGGCAAATAAAGCCTAAATTATCAGATGAATTTATCTGTTCTTACAATATTCAAGAAAATAATATTTCTTTTCCTTTTTATGGAGTTCTTTGTTTCAATAGACTTGGTGTTGAGTTTCTATATGTCATTTTCTTGGTCTCCTAAAACGTCTTTGTTTTTTTCAAATGTAGTTTTTCGGTGAGATAAACTATTCACAAAACCTATTCCATCTTTCAACAGTTGAGTTTTCTGAATTGCTTGTTTTTATTGCATTGCTGAATATGCTGGAAACCTGTACAAGGTAGAACAAAACATTGGACCCAAACGATTGTGGCTTAGACAGATTTTACTGTATTAGCTTTTACTGATTCTTGAGTTAATGCCATGAGGAGAGTAATGGGAAGAAAAATATTTTTAAAATGTCTTGAGAAAAGGCAAAGGATGGAATATTGTAAATAATAAAGGCAGCATAGTTCTTGTTTTTGAAAATTGGGTGTGAATTGAAAAGAGGGTGTATGTAAACTAACTTCCCTTGTTTTTTATCCAGATTTTGAGTTTTGAAATTTTTGAAGTTACTTAAATTGTACAAGAAGTTTGAAGCTGAATACTTTCAATACCCACCCTGCTCCTTGCCCTGTCCTCGCTCCGAGCTATTTTGTCTGACAATAAGAAAGACTACTACTGCAGACATCAGTGACTTCCAACTTTCAAATGACACCTTTTTTCCTGTGACTGAGTAGTTCATGCAGAAAAGCAATGTTTGTATGTCACATTATAGAAATAATCTACTGGATTCATTTGTAATCACTCACACACAAAATAAAGTAATGAGTAAATACATAAATAAAATACATGTCTGGAAGTACAAAACTTCCAAAACAAAACAAATTAATTTTAGTACTCAGACCATAAAAAGCCTGATTTTCCTAAATTTTTTTCTTGTAACATAATAGTGTTATCTGTGTTAATGTCTCTTCAGAGTCTTATTGAAGCATTCCTCTCTGATAGAATCATACAGTGGACAAGATAGTAATATAAGTGATCTTTCTTGCTGCTGTTTCATAAGCTTTTTTCTTCTTCCAAGTTCATGTTTCATCATTCATTTTGTTTTTCTTCATGTTGAATCCATAAACTATTTTCATCTTTGGAGAGGGGAAAAAATCTGCCATTAGCAACTCCAAAAGTTGTGCAAATATCTTACTAGGGTAGGGTAGCAAGCTTATACTAGATACTTATAAACTATTAAGCACATAAATACCTATACATATTTGATAAGTCACTGATCTATTGACATTCTGGCTATAAACATTCATTTTTTTCCTGTTTCCAAAGTTCTCAATTAATACAATAGTTATGTTTTTTCTTGTGGAATATTTATATTGTAGATGTGTCTTTTGATAAAACAACATTTTTTTCACATTTTCACAATTTTTTGCTCTCCTGTAGTGTAATTGAAGTTAGACCTTGCTGATATTGTAGAAGGGCAAAACTTCTTTTCATGTGGAAATTGTCAGGGAACAATCTGGAGCATTTTGGGGGAAAATGCTATTGAAGCATTTCTGAAAATTACCCATATAAAGTTCATTTACACTCAAAAACTTTTGAGATTTTGAGAAAGTCTCTTACAATTCATTTTAAGTTTTATTCACAAATGCATTAAATTATTAAATGCACTTGTAATGTATATTATTAAAGTCATGTATATAAAAAAAAAATATATCAAAAATACACTTAGTTTTGGAGGAAATCTTAACATACTTTTTCTAAGACAGGATATCTCACAAAATTACATAAGAACTACTCATATTTAAAAAAATGTAATACAACATAATTGTGAAAAAAATCTCTATCTGCATCAAAGAAGTGTGGTACGAGGGGGTCAAAAAGCATTTTAACGTTTAGTAATTTTCAAAATTTCAGAGAATTAATTAAAATTCTCTATTTTCATTTGTGCACTTTCCTCTATTCGAACGAAAATGACAAAAACAAAAAAAACATTTGAAGACACTCTGGAGAAAATATTGAACAATGATTTTTTGCAAATTACTGTAGTATATATACTACTGTGTTAATACTCTGATTGTGAGAAATTAAAAATTGGTGAAGATGTGTCCTCTTCATGCTTTAGTTGCCAAATGTCTATTGTAAATTTAAAGAATGTGCAAATTCAAGCATATATGTGATTGTTTTCAGAGAGAAACACAGTTTTCTGATTTTGTTTATTAGTTCGGTATTGTGCACCATCTATTATATGAGGTAGGAAAATCTAAAGGAATATTTGTATTTTGCAAAATTTATTTTAACATTAAGAATATTAGAAAAATATTAAGTATAAATAGAATATCTAAATTAAAATTTTGTGATTGTTCTGCAGTGGTGCTGTTTCACTTTTTCTATATTCATGTATTTTGCTAACTTAATATTACATGTATTAACTTCAAATCAAATGTGATGGTTTTGAAAAATCTTTCTTCTCAGGGGAATTAGCACTCTCCTTTTGCCTGCGCACGACTGCAACAGTAATAAGATTTTATTTACCTACTCTAGCAATATATTATTTAAGATTTGAAGCTTGGTTTAATATATAATTCAAATGACATGATTATGTTAAAAGAATAAATAAAATGGTACACTTACGCTGTCATTGCCTGATACATAGAAACACGAGGATCATGAGAGCACTTCTTCAACTTGCGCATAGGTACTCCTTTTGGCATATTAGGAAGAAAACCTGCATACGTAGAAACTGGCATTGTGTATGGTTCTGTCAACTTCCAATTGTGTGCCAGATCCCGTATTTCTTGTTTAAGTGTTGGACAGATATCTTCATTTGGAATGCACTGTCGACTGTAGTATGCCCAGAAGGCAGTTGTTGGTTCACATTCAGCTCTGTTCTGTCTGCGATCCCATTGAGTAGCTGCATTTGCCCATCCCTTGGGAATGGGGGGAGTTGGCTCTTGGGCAGTGTGTTTCACCTATTCGACGACACTTAATTAACACTTTTTTAAATGAAAAATTAACATTTAATTTTTAGGTAGTGTGTGCAAAGAGTATTTGGTGTCAGTTGCTGCCTAAATGAGATAGAAAGTAGTCACTTGCTGCCTAAAGAATGGTAGGTATACTGGTCATCAATTTTAACATGAGCTCACTAACATAAGCCTAGATTTAAATGAGCAATTCTGGATTTCAAGTAGACATTTTCATCTTAAAATTTTTCTAATTCAAAGTTATTTTTTGCCATTGATATATTTCAAAACCATTTTGAATTTAATATATTTTCTCTGATTTCTATTAGTGTACAGGTTTGTTTTCATATTTATGAAAATTAATTAATTCCTCGATATTATTAATTAATTTGCATTACAAACATATAAATGTCTTTTGGTTGATTACAATAATTCATTTCAACACATTGGTTTTAATTTTAATAACTATTCTGAAAAAATATTTGGAGAAAAGCAACCAACAGATTTTGAACCTCCATAGTAGTATGCTAATTTTTTAGTCAGAAAGGAAGTAGAAATTAATGACTATTTTATATTCCTCTGCCCTTATTGTTTAACTTTTCGTCACTCATATTCAAAATTTTCATTACAGCACTCACACAAATTCTGCGTAACTCTCAGCTCTCTTAAGGAAAATTCAATTTTTCTTTTGTAAATATTTATAAATGGTACTAAATTGTGAAAGAAAGGAACTGTGGGAATGAGTCTGACTGATGATGATGGCAAAGCCGTCGATAGCTGGCTCTCTAAATAAATCTATCAAGTTGAAGGAGATGACTTCCGTTATTTCAACATGAAAGAAGAAACACATTACACAAAAGAAATGTTTAAAAAATCTGCAGTAACTTTGTTATTTACCCCTTCAGCTAGAAGAAATCAAAAACCAAGGTAATTAATCTTGTGCGAAAAATGTTTTGTCCAATTCAGATTAATTCTGTTTCTGAATTTCGTGCTAATCATTTGTTACAAATTACTTTCATTTCTAAATGTCTTTCGCATGTGAATTAGATTACAAGCTGTGCTTTATAGTTGTGGGAGAATTTTTTTGATGTCCATATTCATTGCAACTGGGAATTAACATTAATGGCCGTGTCACAAACAAATTGAATACAATCCAGAGATGGAATATGGAAGCCAAGTAGTAAAAAGATCACAATGCAAAGAAATACCGCTCAAAAAAGCAACGCTGTTAGACTTAAACCAACAGCATGTGTGACAAAAGGTGAATGAAAAACATCCTTTTGAATAAATGATTTGTAATGTTTGATGTGACTCATTACATATGCAGAGGAAAGATAAAATATGATCATGATGTAATATTTTATGCTTCAAAAAAATTTGTTCTTTGGGTTTCATTAAAACATATAAAATAAAATTTCTTGCCATGTTAGCTTTCTTTTCTAGAGTACTTGTGGCATCATCTTTTGGAATGGCCATAGGATAAAACAGTCTGAAGTTGGCTGTATAATCAGACCAATAGGGATAACATCGGATGGATGCAATAACATCCTTATCATCAAGCATTTTTTCCAGGTCATCAACTGGAAAAGCTGGTGGGAACATTCTACGTGACCTCAAACTTCTGGCATGTTCCAGCTGATCATCTCCGATTTTTATCTATAAAATAAGAAATGCAGTACACATGTGGACAAAAAAAAATCCACTTATAGGTAATAATTTTTAATGCAATACTTTTTGTATGCACATGGTGTGTGGATTAGTTTTCACTATTTCTTTAGGCCTGTAAAACAAATTGAAAGGTATCGTTCGACCATGTGTTTTTAGAGTTTCATAATCTTTTGGGCAGGAAGGAATTATTTTCCTGGATGGATCAGGCTTTTCAGCACAAATAACATAGTCTTCAATTTCATTTGTTAGTTGTGGTACTCTGTAGTCATCTTTCTGAGTTGTTTCAGCTCTGAAATATTCTCTATTCAACAAACCATGCATGGTTATTTTGTTCACTATTACTATTTAACTATATTAAATAACCTAAACTACTATTGCTATGGAAAAGAACAACAATACTCAAGTAATTCTTCAGGAAACAATTTATTTCAAAACTTACAATACTGTATTAATTAATAGTGGATAATGTACAATGTAGAACAAATTAAAAATGAAATCACTGAATAGTTAGAGCATCATTTTGCATTTCATGGCTTAGCTGAGTCTGCAAGTTAGACAATTTTTGCTTCAACAAAGAAATTCCCATCATGACAATGTTTTCAGGTCGTAAAGCTCCAGAACTCTCCACATTGTAGAAAAACTTGTTAGGCTTGATTTCCCAGTTGTATGGTGCCTCATCTTTAAATGAAAGAAAATATCATGAAGTAATTGAACACAAACAGCTTAATGCAATAGTGCATTGCTTTGCATACTTGCATTTATTATGTTTATGCAAATAAACAATTTATGCATTGCATACTCACATTGGTCATCCTCCAATTCTGTGTATTCACTCTTGGGCCATTCATCTGGTTTGGGATACAGTGTGTGTCTCATTGAATTATCAGGATCATATTCAAAGCATACTCCAGCAGTAGGGTTCCATTTTGCATGTTCTTTGCCAAAACCCTTTTTGGCATAAGCACGCAATTTCAACTCTTGTCCTTTACGTAATTTAATAATAAGAATCTCTGTTTAACAAAATACGAGTAAATGTTTAGTAAGTGTCTGTCAGCAATGGACAATATCAGCTAGGAATTTATTCAGGCACTATACCATCAGTTTCTCCATATTCACTGGCCTCATCTTCACGATGTCTGGACGTTACAGGTACAACCCGGGGGTCACTTGATTTTAGGTCAGCTGTTGTAACATGTCGTGTCTGTTCATCATTGCATTTAACATCAAGTGTAAATTCCACACTGCATTCTGGACAGAAATCTACACAGGTACAGTCCTACAACAAACAGGCATGAAAAATGACAGCAAAGTAGTAAATATTGTTTACTCTGCATCAACTTAAAGTATGTATTTTTACCCGAGCATACTGAATGCGATCAACAACTTCATCAGAGGTCAGTGGAATTAGACCAATTCTGTGGGCTAAGAATTCATCACTTAAAACCGTGGAGTTTGCTTCAAGTTGTACCCAATCAATTGCCATTGTAGGAGTTTCAGCAATAAACATTCTCCTAACGCTGTTTGCAACACTGAAACCAGGAAGAAACATTATATTTCCTATTATGATTATAATGACAATTCACTACTATACAGAGACAACTATACCTAACTAGACACTTCACTATTTGACAACTAACCTCAAATCGGTATCCTCAATTTGGAATTTGACATTTTCATCCGTTAGTTCACTGATGTGTACAGATGGCTGATTAGCATACGGCATTTTTATAAATGATTATTCAATAAGATTCAATTTTCCAGTGGCAAGCGCAGAAATCAGAATAATCGACACAAAACTACACCTTGGTCAAACTGCGTGTAACTTAAAATTCGTGAAAGGAAACGCCGTATCCAATCGAGCGGAGAGAAAAGAAGAGTAGAGAGCTGTCAAAGAGTAGAGGCGGCCGGGAGTGAGGTGCGTATTGCGCATGCGCGGTTCAGCCAGTACGCTTGTTCGTGTGCCGGGCGGCCTTTGCGAATCTGTTCGTTGTTTCGTGCGGCGTTAGGACTCTGCACTGTTGGCATTTTATTATATTCAGTGAGTATAATGATATTTCTTTAAAGGTTTTTGTATTTCCCAGTCTGTTATGTTACATTTTTGGTTGCATTAAAAACTCACTGAATCAGTGATGTAGTAGTTCTCGGACTCCCCAGTAAGAAAGGCGAAATGCGAGCCCCTACTACGATTGTTAAACATAAAATAAGAAGTTTTAAATATAATTGTTATAGGTACAGAATATAAAATGAATTTAACCATATATAAATAATTATTCATATGTAAGATATGGTTTTACATATTGGACAATGGTATTAATTAATGAGATACCAATGTTCGATTTAGCTTTCATTTGTCTAAAAAGGTAGGCATTAATTCTTACAATAGGATTAACAGGATCAAAACAGATTTATTGAATTGTTATTGACTTTAAGGTCTTACTAGTTTCTTAGTCTGAAACATTATGTAGTAAGCGTAAAAGAATTTTCCACCCATCGATTATGAATCAAGTGTTACCCAATTTGCCGGTTGACTTCTACTGCATTTACAAGGTCCAGGGTTAGAGATTCCCAACGAGGTCGGTGTAGACCCCCCTGGGGGTCAATGATATTTAAGAGGTCAACTGGGAATCAATAGCCGAATACGAACACGATGATCAGGATAATCAAAATCCCATTAATTACGATAGTAATTTATAAATAATCAATAAATTGTTCAATTACAATTATATAGTTCTAAATTAAATATCAATTGATAAGTGCGCGTTTTGAATGTATTGAAAGCTAAATCTATATTTTAACAAGGAACCTTTTCTATTGGGCTTGGAGATAGTAGTTTGTTTCTTAACTTGATGTAGACGTGGTTTTTGTGTTAAAAACTATCTGTGATGTACTATGGAGAGAAGTTAATTTGAAGTTACATTTATGTTCAGAAGAAAAACAAGGGTCCATTTCAGCATTTGCTCGAGGATCAGGGAAACTGGACGAAAACCTGATCGAGATGGGGGTCATTGTCCCAGAAGCTGAAGTACAATATTTGTTACAGGTTCTTCACAATTATTCAATCCAAATAATATATAATACATTAAATACTCGTACATCTCAAAAATACATGTCCAAAAAACTCAAATATTCGTATTTTAAATACAATTTGTATTTGAAAAACTGTATTTCAAATACAAGTATTCAAATACTGCCCAACCCTGCAGGCGTGTTGAACGGAACGAGAGTTGTGGGTATTTCCCATGTAAATGGTTACTTTGCTGTGCTTTCATCTTGCTATACAAAGACAGTATTATTTATGCACCAATAGAATTATGAGAGCTTCATGGTTCTGTGACCTGAAGGCCAAATTGAAACAGCCCAAGGCTTTATTATTGTTTTAAAGGTTTATTATTGATACGATTGTTGTGTGTGTGTGTGTTCGCACAACTGACAGTAGCTTCGTAAAATCATTTTGTGGTTACTAGCTAAATGTAATTTAAGTGACACACACAATTGTCACCAAAGGATTTTTATATTGTAAATTTGTTTTTGTTTTTTTTAAAGATTTTTTCACCTCCCGTTATCTACAGAAATATTGGGGATTATAATTGCACCAACATAAAAATAATGCAACATTTATTAGATATGGGTTGAAAGGGCACCAATTGCAAGTCAAACAACACGAGCTATTTCCAATTACGTTTTTTCCTAAAACACGTTTAATTTTTTTGTAATTTATCATAGTTTGTAGGAACATTTTTCAATGTGATTTTCCAGGTTTTGAATACGTAATATCTCGTGAAAAGTGTCAAGATGCACAGTGTTATTTGAAAGAGTCTGCATTTGCCTACAATATGGCGGAGAGCATAATGTTAAATTTGTTACGCTAGTGCTCACCTCTCACCATAGGAGTAATAGGCTTTGGTTTTTGCCACACGTATGTTGACAAACTAGAAGTATAATATTATCCAACACGATGTCACGGAATTGTGTAATGCAAGGAACCTTGGTTCTTCGTGGGCAACAGTTTTATGGTGAAAATATGGTGACAGTGGATTGAAGGTGACAGTGGAATAGTAGTTTAGCAATTAGTTTATAAAGCAACATTATCAGCGAGTTGCATACGGTATTTTTGTATAACTACATTATAAATTTATAAGAGAATCAAACTTAATTTTGCGAAACAACTTTCTTGTGACTTATCGGGTATTTAAAATCTGTGCGAGAAAACGGTGGTCGGCTGTTCCCGTGACCTGTACCGCCCCACGATGCTCTCTCTGCGATTGGCTGAATGTGTGATGACGCAATCATTCGCGCTCTAAAATCCAATACGTCATTATTTGTGTCGTAAAATGCTTATAATGCTGGTGTACAAAATAAAAAATCATTACATGACGCATTGTACAGAACCGTCCTGTAACGAACAAGTTTCTTGCTGTAAAACAGTACAACAATAAGTTACTGTCCGGACAGAATCGAACATAATAGAAATTAAACGAAACGAGTGGGTAAAGAGGGGTATAATTACATGAGTAGTATGTTGAAGAAAACGAGCGACGATAGGAGCGAGTTTTCGTATATACCTCGAGTGCAATTATATCCCTCTATCCACATGTTACGTTCAGTCAATTTTGTTTCCATCTAAGAATAATTTTAAGTTTGAGAAATTCAAGCATATCTTTACATTTTTAGGCATCTATTTGATGACTTCATATTGGTTCTGAATCAGACATTTTAGTAGGCGTTGTATGTCAGTACATATTCATGGTCACAGTTGTGTCTTGGAGAATAACGTTAGAAATAAGAAATAAACGTTAAACATATTATTTAACATATTCCGGATGAAATACTAAAAGAAAAAGACTGTCATGAAAACGTTACTTCGCACGAACAGTACGGGCGTGTGTGAGAGAACGTGTGTTAATGTTGGAAAGGAGAAAGACTATAATGTTCAGACTTAGAAGTTTTGCTGGCGTACGTTTCAGAGCGGTTAAATACAACTGATATTAAGACAACTTACATTAAGAACAAATGTTTTACACGTACATTTGCCCGTGTTAAATATTGTGAGATTTTTTCATTAATCACAATTTTAATCATTAATCAGCAAGCATTAATCAGCAGTGTCAAACCAACATGCTTATGGTCATACTTGTTTATGTTAAAGAAGACGTGGCGTGTAAAGGAGAATATCGATATTTTAAATTATAAAAAATTGAATTGATTCTGTAAAAAAAAGTAGTTTTGCCAAAATAACTGCTTTCCCTGGGCCGTCATGTTTGAACAGGTGAAGTAAACGTGTCTCTGCTATATAAAGCGACTGCAGGTTAGGGTGATTGATGCTAAGTATATGTAGGACAACCGTTTCTAATTTAGGTTAAAGTAGGGTACACGGTACACCCTCAGTGGTGGCAGGGGGGAGGGGTTTCCTAAAATCTTCCCTCAAATTACGCTACGCGCTCTGATAGAACTGATTCGTAAAACTTACGGATAGGCAATTTTCATATCTCGCTTTTCATACGCTTTTGCTCGGCCGCATTTTAATGTCAATTTACTTTCAAAGGCAAGTTTTCTCGCTTCGCTCGCCCGGATCAAAGTCTCGGCGAGGCTCGGGTCTTAGACCCTCGCGTTCACTATAAACATCCTTGTGTCTATCCACCGCATAGTTACCCATTCACTTGTATAAGAAAGCACTTTTCAAGAAAGCCTTTAGAATTAAAACTGCGCAGTTGGCGCTGGAGCGGGGCGAAATGCCGGTTTAAAAGTCTTCCGTAAGTTGAACCGTATACTAGACTTCAGCTCTAATTTAATTTATTGTACTATAAATATTAATCTGATTGTCTAAGGAGTGGTAATAATTATTCGTTTATAATTTTGTTTTATTCGTTCATGAATTATGCTTTTCACGTACGTAATCTGTGATGTACATTTTTGTTCATGTTCCTCGGCCAACTGGAAATACCTTTGATATGTCCGCGTTATAAGGACATAATTAAACAATTTCGATCAATTTCTGAGTTCTGGTTTGTAGTTGCGGAGTTTAAATTGCACGGTGGAATTTTAATTGCATGCGTGCTATTAATACAGAATTAATCAACGATTTTTTCATGGAATTAATGTAATGATGTTTGTGTAAACACAATCATGCGATCACATTCACGTCATAATCAGAATGTTCTCGTAAGGATGATTCTACGGGCAAAACCAGGCCGGGGAGAATTTTTCTCTATCGCTTGCATGCGTGCTTCCGCCTTAACCCATTGAGTGCTTTTTATCCCTCTCCATTTCTTCTTTTCTTTTCGTTTCTGGAGGTGTGCAGACCTGAGAGGTCACGGGCCTATGAACAGTCGGGTCTGCAGACAGCCGTAAATTGTGATCTTCCCGAAATGCCCGCGAGCGATCGGGCACACGACCTTCGGCCAAAAATACTTGAAATTCTATGATTGCCGCACATGCTTCTTCTTAACGTTTGGTAGTTTTGTTATTATGCAACTATTTTCATTTACAGTGCTTGGCATTTCTCCTAAAGACCGTTCTGCCTTTCATTACAGCAGGGCTGCAGGTCTCTTCCCGTTTTCGCTCCGTGGAGCCAGGCCGCTTGCTCCCGGCTCTCGATGGGCAGCGAGGTTCTAGCGGTAACGCCATAGGAATTTTAAATGTCGAATTCAGAGGTTTGCGAAAAGCTTCGGGTAGCGCGCTGCCACTACTCTCTCGACAGTGACAATGCTTCGTACATGGACCAGACTGTTCATAGGCCCGTGGAAGGTTACGAGCTCAGGAGCCAAATATACATGTAATCAACTATTCAGATTGCCTTCTGATGGTTATCCTCGAACTACACTGACCTTTCTCGTAGATAATAATTAAACACACAATTCTATCAAGGAAAATATTTCAACAAAAACCAAAAAAGGTTTCGACAGGGATTTGTTATAAATTGTGTAATTACATTTATCTGTAAGTCCTACATTGCAAACTATACATGGTTGCAAAACTGTATAAGTATGCATTTCTGTAACAAATTCT